TTTAAATTAAAAACAATTAGTTTCAAATTAAGCTAACATTTGTCTAGTTTGTAGCTAATTGGCCAATAAGTGGTATTCATCCTCGGTGTTAAGCTTGTGGCAAACAGAACATTTTCTCCCAGGATATGCTGCAGGAAATAATGTGCCTGTCTTTGGTTGCCAGGCTATTATCAGTGCTCAATAAAACTGAATTATTCTGAATAAGGCAATAAAAGTCAGTGAAATATCAGAGATTGGATTGATAGTTACCAGATCATAGCACTGGAACAATTAGCTATCATATCTCATACAGTGCAAGAGTTCACTCCAGCCTGTAACACTGAGCCTTAAATAACATTGTCAGTGTTTTATTGCAGAATTATACAGTTTTCCTTCCTTTCTATTTCAATCTATGACAAGATTCTTCTCTGAAGTAGCAAAGTTTCCTTGGTGACTGTTTTTTAGTCCGTTTTTGCTGACATCAAGAGCTTATTTGATTACCATGAGCGTCCTTAATCATTTACAGTGACTTTAAGTCCAGGACAATCCTAAAATTTGCATAATGTGAAAATAATTCCTATTGTAAACTTGTTCAGTAATTTCCAAATGTTTATATTGATGAATTTGAAAACTTGAGAATTAAGGTGCAATTGCTAAGATAATTTTTAGCAAATTTGAAGAGTCAAGATTTCTAAGGAAGCATTTGTCAAGCGCATGTAGTTTTGCAAATTGTGTATTTTTACATGTAAATAAACTGAGTTGAATTGTATGATTGGTTGATTGCATGGTTTAAAATTTAAAAAGAAATGGTATGGCCTTGCACAAATGATCAAAATATTTAATTCTATAATTTCATTTTGTCCCTACTTTGTTTGAATATTAAATAATGATGCTTCAAATGAGTATCATAGGGATGATGTATCATTAAAAGGAAAGACAAGTTATAAAAGTAGAAATTCCATGCACCTAGATGTAAATTCCAGAAATTATTTACAAATATAACTCTCCTGATATTTCCTGCATGATAATTTCCTAGTCAAATAAAAGATGCTTGAATGCTTTTCTATTAAAGCAGCACTTTGGGGAGAATTGATGGGTTATATTTATGCTGTTGTGCTTTTAGTACCATTTTCAGGGAGCATGTATTATACATGGGTGCTTTCTCGTCTGGTAAAATCATTTCTAAATGAAAGTTATGAATATAGTAGGGGGACATTTTACTCTGCCAATTCCACAAGATGCATTATAGATTAGTATTGCCCCTCTAGAGACCTATGTGCATAAACGGTGCTCTTGTATTGATGTTTTGTTAAAGCGCATCTTTTGTGGGGATGTTCTATGTATTGTTTTATGTAAGAGAGATCGTTTGTTGGCGTCAGCGTTTTTCCCACGTTTGCTTTTTATGGTCAGGAATTGGAACTTGATTACGATGTAAATTGTTGTTTCTCAGTTGTTCCTGGTAAGTTAATGTTTTATTCAATACTTCACTTGGCAATAATTTTCATTTTGAATACCATAGTTACGGGACCAGGGAGAAAATTTCTTAAAGAAGTTTTATTAAATTGCATTGAAGTGAAAATGTAACAGAAAATTGTTTCTGGTGGGGTGTGTAGGAGAAATTTAATTTAAATTAAGTTTAACCATCTAATTAAAATGTCATGCTTAATTTGTATGCACAATGATAAACTTTCTTTGAATTTGTAACACACAAGTCAATTCATTAACAATTCATTTAAACCCCAGGGATGGGGTGGGGGAGGAGTTTTTTTTGTCCCCACACTGTAAATGTTGTGCTTTTGTTGTCTGTCCCCATGCTGCAGGTGTTGTGGCACCACAATAGACAGGGGATATTTTCAAGGTGTAGTGCAAGGACATTTTACACATGGTGATGTAACCATCTGACTGTCACAACAGGACATGTACGTCTTTCTTTGCCAGGTTTTTAATGATCCAAGAGTCAAAGTCCCTCTAATAACCCCTGTGGGTTAGATCATTGATTTATAATTCACTGGTGCATAACTGTATTGTTATTATTGTAAGGGATTTGAATATAAAAAATGTTTAAAAAATTAAAACACCAAACATTTATAAAAGAGTCTGGTCAGGGTACACTGACCGAATACATTATCATGAAATTTAAGTATTGGGCAAATGGTAAAATGATTGATCCCCAGCTTTATGCAGAGTGTCCTGTTGATGCCAGGGATTGATAGCTGTCTGTCTTGATGAAATATTTGTTTGCCAACGTCTGTAGCCGTGCTGCATTGGGTATGGTATCAGACAAATTGAATCCCATTGCTTGAATAATATAGTTTGCATATATCAATGGTTAAAGTATGATGAAATTGGTGGTGAATTTTATTTTGTTATATTTTTTTTTTTGGAGCAGACCAATCCATAAAGTTATAATGTTACCATGTCACGGAAGACCGATAACATCTGGGGGTAATGTGTGAAAATTGATGTTGAAATAATCAACTGTAAAAAAACATTTTGTACCACAATGCATCACTGTCATATACACCGAAATCTTTAGTAATACAGGGCTATAGGATTAGAAAAAAGATGAATTGAGAGTATAGACTTTTAATGTTCTGAAACTGTCATATTGAAGAATAATATTTATGTTTACTTGTGGTGTAATTTGACAAAAAGGAGACTCCTGATTCAAGTGGGGTAATGTAAACCGCATGGTAAGTCTTTTGTTGATATTGTTATGTAACTTTAAAATGGGTTAAAAACTTCAGATTGTATTTAAGCATGGATCAGACATGATAATTTTATGTTCGAAATATTTGAATATTAATAAATATTATAAAGGTATAGAAATTTGCAGTGTTATGGATTTCACAATGTGTTTAGGTGAATTCCTGAATTACAATTCTGAATGCTTGGCTGTCTGTGTTTAATGATTAATATTTATAGATGTTTTGAAATGTGATTTTAAGGACATGCTTAAATATCATCGGTTAAAAATTTATGAAAAACTAGTATGGCTGCTTAAAGGTGGCTTTAAAAGTGCAAATAATTTTAGTTGGAGAAAAATTTGATCTTTCTTGTAGCTTTTTTATGATATGTAAATGTTTGGATGTTCGCCCGTTGATTTTATGGATCTTTTCTCCATTAATAGATCTTTTTTTCAATATAAATCTCTTAAAAGTTCTATAATGCACACGACATATTTATCAAACAGTGTCTTTTTCACACCCAGTCAGTTTAATGTGTTAATTTTCATATATTTCATGGTTCATGGACCATGGCTTAATTATGGCAAACATCCACACTTCATATTTTGAAATTCACCCTCATTTTCCAGTTTTTTTATTGAATGAATTTATGAAGATAATTCATTTTTTGTGGGGTCATGAACTCTTTATTTATTGTATACCATATATAAAATTCAGTGTCTCTTGAAAAAACAAACCAGCTATAAAAGAAATTTTGATGACAGTTTTTGATAAACATTACTTTGATTGGTCTATTCTGCAGCTGACATATTTTGAAATTATGACTGATGTTATGTTCTCCCATCTTTCATTGTCAAAAATCCTTGTAAAAATATTTTCATTTTTGCAATGTACAATGATTCATAATAGGCTGTTTTTACAAACTGCATAGCTGAAAGTGTCAACAGTTTGCTGAAATAATCTTTATCCCTGATTTATTTCAAATCGTTGTTTAGATAATTTTTTTCCTCGATGATTATGAATTTGATAAATGATTGGCTGCACAGGAGGGTGAAATTGTTTCCTTCCTTCCAATTACATGGGACCTTAAACCTTGTAACATTAAATGTAACAGCTTTCTAGATAAAACAACAGATAATTTCACAATTGTAAACATTCAATAATGGCACATATGACCATAAAAAGGCGGAATAATTACTAGATGAAAGGAGTTCTTTGATCACTGTATAAGATAATCATGTCCTAAAAGCTTGTAATTAATGATAAATACAAGACCTATTGTGTTTTTCCCTTCTAACATACCAAAACACCTAATATATGGTTAATAGATAAGAATCTGTAATGTTAAAATCAATAAAGATTGAGCAGGAAATAAGCAAAGGAGACTTCCTCTAACCCTATCTTGTTTTATAATCTATCATGTGAAATTATATCAATAAATATTAAAAAAAAATATTTATTGAATAAAATATTCAGATTAGATAAGAGCATGGGAGATAACTGCAGGAAATAAGAATTAATTTTACATTATTTAAATTATAAAATATGATATGATAGGTAAAGATTGCGATGTAAGACCTTTGAATTAATTTTACATTTATTCTAACATTATATGACAATTATAATTATGGAAAAGTTCAGAAGTATGTTCATTTGAATTTGCATATAGTAGTAATAATTTTACAGATATTAAAATTCTACACCAGAAAAGTTATTTTTCTTTCAAACATACCATTTTGTAGTTGGTCATTCATTGGAACCTAATGTAAGAGTAGTGATGAAACTTTTTACGATGTTAAGCATTTCACTAAAGGCTTTTTTTCTCAAGAGGTTAACCTAAATAAGTTGAATATTAGAGTTATTTTCCTCTGTAAGTCCATTTAAATCTATCCAATACAATTGAACTTTTCTAAAGGACTGTCATTTTGTAGTGAGAAATTGCCATAAATTACCGGTTATCCCAACTTTTATGTAAAGGCCCCTGAAGTGTTTAATAGCGCATTTGTCAAAACTAACCCACTCTCTTTGTCGTAACTTCAAACTAAGTTCTGTAATTTATTAGTTCAGAATTCTTTTTGACCAGGGAGACAGCTGAAATAAAAGGGGCCAGCCCGGTCAGTTGTTTAACTAGTAGCAGTTGCTATGGAAACTATCACAAGATCCAGAGATAAAAATAGCTTAAAGGGATGTGGACCTGCTGGACTGTGACCAATTATGTTTACAAGGGAAAGTTGGTCGGCCAGAAAATGGTCAAAATCTTTACGATCTGTGATAATAAAGTCACTTGTTGTGGTATCCCTTGGGTTTATTTTACACTTTGATACCAACGTGTGTAGTGAAATAGTGGTAGAATTACCACAAATTGTGTTTAAATTGTTTAGTAGATAAACAACTCTTTTTCACTTACATCTCTATAATATCTTAGGACATCAAATAATTGTTATAAGATAAGGTGTTTAGAAGTGTTAAATCTTTAGATATTCAGAATTGTTTGGATTTTAAAGTGTTTAAATTGCCTTGGTGTGTATACAATTTGGATTTTAAAAAAGATCTCACAAACAGTTTGGATTTTAAATGTGTGGCAACAGTATTTTTGGATTTATCCTAGGTGTTTTATAATTTTGGAGTGAAAGCATAAATTTTTTGCTACATTGTTTAATTTTTTGGTAGGTTGTGTTTTTTTTTTCATACATTGTTTCTTACCTTGAAGTCTAAAGGTATTGTGTGTCTTCTTGATTAAAGGGGATGTTCACTTGGGGATTGATAATAGTTCTATAATAAGAAAATAGTGCAACATAATCAAAAGTAGGACATGGATGCACAATACTTTTATACTTACTTTGGTGTTCACTGGGTGACACAAAAGTCATATTTCGATTTTACACTAAACTAAACAAAATTTTCAAACAGTGAAATATCAGTTTTATATTTCACTGATATATTTCTAAAAACCACCAAAAAGCATGTTATAAAATCCTAGTATATCATTGAAATGAAATATTATAAATTATTATACATGTACATTATAGTGACGTCTCATTTTACTATTTATTATAGTCACATGTTGAGAACATTTTCTCATGTTGTATAAATTTCTAATTAACCATGTTGGTCAAGCATTAATATATTTTAGATGACAATGTATAATGGAATACTAATTTACTTAGTGTATATGTATACACCATGTACACCTTGTTTGAACATTAATGTAATGGGAGAATTTGTACTTGTAATGTAACTATATAATACCACTTGTCTAAAATTGTCATGTCTTTGGACATCATGGATACTACAAAGGGGCTGTGGTTTGTTTATGAGCGTGGGTAAACTGACATTAAACATAATTTATTGTCCCCGAAGTGGACATTGGTTAGATTTTATCCTCTGTGGTCACTTTGGACATCAAGACTGACCACATGTTTCTGCATACACTTGTCAAATTTTACATGCATGTTCAAGCTGACATATAGACATATAAATTTTATATTGCCTTTTTTCCCTTTGATCTTTTTTTCCAATTTTGTCACCTGATTTCCATAAATGAATATACAAGTGTGAACTCCTTAAGTGCAGTTTCTCTTTTCCAGCGTGCATAGGTGTTATTACATGAAAAAGCATTTAACACATTCCCTAGACAATAATGTATTAGCCGGAATACAAAACCAGGGCTATCAATGATTGGAAAATCATAATAGGTGTTAGTGTAACAATAATGTTTTGTTGATGTTGGAATTAGTTGTGAAACATAAGGATAATTGCTAAATAAATTATTATTGCATTTTGTACATAACAGAATAATACATTACAGTTCCTTACAGACAGCTTTGATTGGATAAATAAATACTTTTAGGTTTTCAGTCTGTTGAAATACGGTGATTTTAAGTGATTTAATTTGGACGTCTGTTTAGGGTTCTTTTTGTTGGTGTAATAAATTTTTGTTTATGTAAAATGTATTTTGCTGTTTGATAATATATATAATAAATAACTTTTTTTTAACTGATTTACATTTCTGTACAGTGTTATGATATAGAATAGTAAATTTTTAAGAAGTTGGATGTTAATGAAAATAATCTTCTATAAAAAAGCTATTTTAAAGGTAATTATCATTATGGAGATATGTGTATGTATCATATATAATTTTTTTTTACAAAAACAATGAATTTTATGCAAAATATTTTTCAAAATTATGTTATTTTTTGTATTTTCAGAAAAATATGTCGCCATTGTAAGTGTCCTCCAGAAATTCACGATATGGCTTCAAGTCTCGTAGACGACAGGTCATTTAATAAACTTATACATGATGTCAAGCGGAATTCTACGTCAGATGATGACAGTGGTTGCCCGCTAGAGGAATACTCCTGGGTGCCGCCAGGACTCAAACCCGAACAGGTAAGGGAATACAGAAACAGCGGAAAAGGGAACTTCAAGGGTTTATTGTAGGGAAAGAGAATATAATCATATATCAAAGTTATACTCTTTTGTCATTCTATTAAGATATTCCTTTATGAGGTTTTTGGATTTAATGTTATATGAATGTACTACTATAATATTCTTCCCAGTGAACTTAAGTTTAGGTTAAAAACAATGTGGTAAAAATGCATGAAGCAAATACAAATAGAAGTCTCTTGTTGTGCTGATGGCATGGTGATGTATAATGCAAAGGTCAATCTTTGAAAGGGATTATTCTGAACTTTATTTCAAGGCAACTTGTTGAGTTAACATTACATGAGCACTGTGTGTTGATGAAAATGTCTCAATTCATCAGTTACCGTGCCAACAATAGCATGAGAATGAGCAAATCTACTGGTAATTAACTTCTCTAATTTCCGCATACATTCTCAGCATGGCAACAATTTGTGAGGTGTTTTTCTAGCAACACTTTGTGTTTGTCCAGGAAATTAATGCAGTCTTCTTCCGCGAAACCCAATATCTAAGATTGGCTTGTCTTACCATTCCCTGAGATATCCTGTACATGAATCTCTAGTAAAATCAACAGACAGTTTGGAGTAGGAAAGAAAATATTATTTAATTGTTCTTGAAACTGAAACATTTTCTTAGATCTAGGTATAATAATAATTGTGTGGGTTGGAGCAAATGGGTTTGGCTATTTGATAGGATTGTATTAGATTTTAATAGAACTTGAAGCATGTTACAAAACACACTTTGACAAACTGATTAAACAAGAGACAGTGTGAATGCAAATATCTGTCTCCAAGAATATTTTGCCTCTTTCCATTTCAAACAAAGTGAGAGTCACATTTTTTTTTGTCTGAAGATTCGATGAATATTCTACCATGCTACTAATGTTGCGTCTTGAAATATTTTGAATATAAAGAATCACAATCTCATTGCTAGAAAATTTAATGATTAGAGATTGAAATTTGAAGGGAAAAAAAATTAAAAAATATCATTATAAATTCTCATGCCTAGCTGTATTTATTTTAGCAGACGCAATAATATTTATAGCTATGAAAATGATATCTCAAGTGCAGCTGTACAGAAATTGAGAGGGGTAGCAAAAACTACCCCAGCAAACAGATTACACGTTCGAGAGCTGTTGCAGATAAATTTACAACCACGGAAAAAAACCAAACTTAGCAAAACTTCTCAAGAGTCCATTAAAAGTTTGTGGAAATGATTGAACTGTAATTGAAATATAGATTTTATTCACATCTGTCTTTCAGACGCAGTTCTTGTTTTTAACTTTGCACTTAAATTTGCTCATGGAAAATTGCACTTGAGGGTCATAAAAAATTTGTAAGATTGCAAAATCATGTGTAATATAAGATACAGTCTTAAAGTTATTATTGTATAGGAAATAAAAAAGGGAATAATTTACGGTTTCATGTATTTTTAGGGTGTTTGCTTGTCTTCAGTTCTCAGTTCTGTAGAAGCTTTAACTTTTAACCATAGTCATACTAAATATCTTACACATATTCTCTGTCTTTTAATTAGGACAAAATATCTTTTTTAGCGAAAATTTGAAAATTTGCAAAATACATACTGACTAAAGTGCAGACCATGATAAGACTGCATAAATTATCTTGACACTAAAGTAATTACCTGCATTGGAATTGTTACTGATTGTATTTAACTTTGAATATAACCTTGTGTTCTGATGAATTTGAAAATTGTAAATGAAGCTCTTGAATAGTATGGTTGTTTGACTCATAGTAGGATAAAATACGTTAAATTTGGCAGCTGGGACTTGAGAGAATGAAAATCAAGATATAATTTTATTACAGTTTATTACATGATTGGGTTGATTTTATAAATTTCTTGGCAGACTGGTAGCATTCTGGCATGAAATAATTTGACTGGTTTAGAAGAAGTGAGTTAGCTGGGGTCTGGTGAACATTCCTTAATAGCTCCTACACATGACAGCTGCACACAATAGTTGAACATTGTTGTTTTTTTGTTTGATGGTTGCACCAAGTGCATTTCTAATTTTGTACGCTCACTTACTTCGATTGCATCAGGTTTAACTCTGTGTTTCAAGTTTTAGGGTTTTTTTTTCTGTTGAAAAATAAAAGGAAAATCCCAATGAAAAAGTTTGAAGTGTTCTCTTGGTCTGTTTTATAATTTAACAATTTTTACATTGACATATTGGTCCTTAAGCTGAAAATAATAAAATCTGAATAGAGTTTAAGAGACACATTTTAGTATGTCACAGTTTTTTAAAAAAAATTAATTAAGAATTGACATAGCTGTATCAGATTTGCTTACTAAAATTGGTGCATGGTATAAATATGTAATGACTTTGATAAATGAAATCCAGGCATGGTGGGCGGTTACCATGCATTCCGGAAATAGATCAGTTTAAAATAACTAGGCTTGAAGATAGAAACACGGGTAAACAATGAAGGTCTGGTGTTCTGGTGGTCTACAATAAATGTTGTGAATGTTGTCTATATTTAAGATAAATATATGAAGGGATATAGGGAATGTAGTCCAGGTGCAGGGTGTCTGTGCTGGAACGTACTGCACACAGGAATTCCAGGTAGTTTAAATGATAATTTAAAAATGTCAAATTTTGCCAGATTTTACCATGATTCTGATCAGGATTTTATTGTTGGCATCTTTTGCACAGATTTTCGCTTCTGTGATTCGATAATGACTGTGATTTGTGTGCCTGTGATTCGTGTGGCGTACTGGAGTTAGGCGGCACGATCATGTCTTATCGACAATATTTCCGGCAGAAACGCCACACTGTGGTAGACACTCTCGATAATGTAAGATTTTAAAATTTCACAGACATATTTTAATCTATAATTAATTGATTATTTTTTTTGAAGCGAAAGATTATACGATTTAGTTAAATGTTTGTTTTAGTGTTTTATTTACAGTAAAAGCAGTTATTATCTCAAAATCATGCAGCCATAAAAATTCCTGCGGTTGTCAGCCGTTCTTAAAGTACATGGAATACAGACTGTATAATTATAGTGTGGTTTTGAATTTTATAAGAAGCTTTTACAAAAAAAATAATGTTATTTTAATTTTATACAGATCTGAAATTAAGAAGGACACCTGTTCTTTGTTTAATTAAATTGTAAATTGTGTATCCCACTGAGAGTATTATTTAATTAAGATTTAGAAAATGTCACAAATACCTGACTAGAAGTGAAGGTGGGCTACAACAGATTAAATGACATCTTTATGTCATCTGATGTCACATAACCATGTCCATGTAAATATAGACTTTGTTTTTTAATGTAATTTAATTACAAATTGTATTTTAATTGGGGCATACTTTTGGAAAAATGTAATGGTAGAAAAAAGGGAACTTATATTTGCAATTAAGAAGCATTGTGTTTCTATAATATATTGTTACGTAATCATATCTAATTTGGATATTTTATTATGTATGACATGTCAAATGCACATTTGGGGAAATACTATGATGTTAAAAAATGAGTAGTACTAAATTGAGTTAGTCTTGAAATTACTTAGATCTTACTGTTTCACAATTTTAATCAAAGCGATTTTAAAGAAAATAGAAAATAATCTTGAATCTTTCATCTATTTTTTACAGCACCCCCTACATCTCTGTGTATAAATAAATAACAAAATTGTCTGCAAATGTACACATTTTCTAATTTGAAGATGGGTTTATAAAAAAAAGACTGTTGTTTCGGAAACTGTTCATTTTGGTTTAATTGTTTGTGCATGAGTAATTTGAAGAAGATCTCTTGAAAGCTTGACTGACAGCCACAAGTGAATCTATACCAACTTTATGTATATGATTTATTAAACCAGTATCATTGTATTGGTAGGAAATTTTTCCCATCATTCTTTCTTGTTCCAAAAAAAATTAAAAAAAATGTCTGAGTGAAATATAATAAAAAATCATAATGTGAAAGATGGGCTATGATGATAGGGAACATACTGTTTAATGAAGATGATTTGTAGGGGAGATAAGCGGTTATCTAAAGTTTAATTACAAATTTAATAGCCAAGGTTGTATTAAGTATATTAGACCAGTGGAGAAGATTCATAGATTGTTCAATCCACTCTAGCTTTTATTATACCTGTAACAGTTGGTTGTATTTTTAAAACTAACTCAAGGCCCAGACAGAACTTTGATTTATGTTTGTGGACATGGCATTGTTTTAAGAGATTTTATGAAAAATTGAGTGGTAGAAGTAGACGGCCCTAAGTTTCAACTTTATTTACATTTTGCTGAAAATAACATTTTTCCAGTTTTAACAGTTTTGGTTTGGTTCATAAACCACAAAAATGCCAATCCTTATTCTGAAAGCATGACTGTATGTCATTTGATCTTTGAATGAAATTATTTGTTGACAAAAGTTACATGAATTCATAATTCTTTTACAACAAGAAGCAATTTTAACAAAATGTTCATTATGTAAGACTTGTTATCATTGTCATTGTAAAAAGTTACATTTATCTAGATAATTTTTTTCAACAGTTGAAAATTGTCTTAGTTGAGAGATTAAAAGAAAAAAGTTTCATTGAGGTAACAGACATTCCTGTGTACAGGAAAAGATGCCTCCACCTGGTGTAATTGTTAAGTAATTAACCTGGAGCAGCTGTTGGCTCTCAAGCATGGGTGCAGGTAATTCTCTCTAAAACTTATAACTCTAAAACAAATCTTTGAACAATATAGGGTTTTCAGTAAAAAAAATAGATTTAAGATTAATGTTTCAAGGGAAAGTTAGATATAGGAAATGTACATTGTAGGTTTATGGGGAAACTCTATAGGGTAATGAGGTTAAAATACCCCCATTTGCCATGTATAATGTAGCAATCCTGCTTCAGTTGTAATGTAACTGAGTCACAGTCCATTGTTCATGTAAAGGGTTTTGATATTTGATTTATAAAAAATAATTATGAAAGTTTAATATGCCAATATGCCAACTGTATATAGT